TCAAATACATTGATAGACCTAAATAAACTACTGTAACTGCAGTACAATTAACTGCGGACTGTTTACACTTGATTTGTACTGCAGTAGAAACCCTCTTGACTGCTCTTGCTTAGCAGGTTCTCTAAATTAATTGGTGGTAGAGGACAAACAAATAATATTTTTATAAATTACTTAAATACATTTTTTTTAGTGAGTTGATTAGTTCCAGCTTTTAGACTGATAGGACAAAATTATTTGAAACCAAAAATGTCAGTAACATACAAAAGAGAAAGTTGTTTTAATTATAACCAATCTTGACCAGTGAATTTATGGGAATCAACAGAGGAACAAAGAGCTTATATCTTACTATAGGGTTAATTAAAATAAAAGCTATTATGTAACTCAAGTTTTTATATATACCTAATAGCATTTGGAATTTTCTTTTAATTTACGCAAACTAATCTTATGACTACTATATCTTATGACTAATCTTATGACACTAAATAAAACAATAAAAAAAAGTAAATAAATGACTCTGAATATCTAATAGAAACTGAACAAACATTGGTGTACTTAAATTAAATCACGTATCTACTAGTGTTTTTCTTTAAACTTATAATAAATTTAACACATATTATATACATATGACTAGTTATTATTATATACATATCAGATTAGTTTTGTATTTTAGTTCAATATTTTCCTTTTAATTTTTCACTTACATGTAAAATTTATATTAAAGTTTCTTCTTTTAGACACACTAGATTTTCCAGCTATTCTGCTTAGCCGGTCATGCATTGACCCCAACGAGAACAGATAGGTGTAGTTTTATTGTGTATGTATATATTTAAATGATTCAGAAAGACGCCATAGATTTATAAAAAGAAGTTTACATGTAAAAACATTTTATTGTATAAGGCACAACATATGCCGTGAATCCTCCTTCTGGGCATCCCTGTGTATTTATAAAAGGTTTATGTGTGTAATTATGAAATGAAATGAAAAAAAAAATATTCTGGAACAAAGTCCCCTAAGAATAAAAAAAGAAAGTAAAGTCTCTGGCTTAATGTTTATTTAAGAAATATCTGATACTAATATTTATAGAAATTAATTTACAATAGTGTGATAGTTTGATTATATAGTAGGTGAGAGAATAAATTGTAATTAAAGGAGTGTAAGGAGGATTGATGAACAGAGATGGGCAGGGTATTCCAGAAGGCGGTTGCATGAGGACATAAGATATGCAGAAGGAAGTGATCTTATAAGAGGGCATATATAAATCAATAAGTTGAGATTGTGTGTTAAGAGAGTGAATAGTGTAATGTATAGTGTGCAGTTCTAGGATGTAGGAAGATTTTTTGGTTGTAAGGTTATGTAAGAGAACCATACCTAAGAGTTATTGCCACTGGAAAGCAAGATAAAGCCACTTCAACTAAAGGAGACAAGAGGCAATTTAAAAGTGTCTTCACTGGCATTTCTAGCCCAGCAGATAGCACTCTGTACACCAAGCAATCATAGTCGAAATGGAAGAAACAAGATTGGATACTAGGAACTGCTGTTATTTTTAGGTATGAAGTCACACGATCTTAAACAGTTGAAGGAAAGTTATGGATTTTCCTGTTATTTGGGAAATATGGTTATTCTATGAGAGGTGTTGATCAAAGGTAACCCTGAAGTTTTTTGGAGTCAAATGAAAATGAATGGGTCTATTATTTTGGTAAAGTAGGGGATAATAAGGGAGGAAATTAAGGAGGTGCCTTGAAACAATGATAAAGGCTTTGGTTTTTTTCAACATTAGTTTCTTAGTTCATTCTTCATTTTCCATCTATTGATACTATCAATATCTTCTTATAACTTTTTAATTTCCTCAAACATCTCAGCAATAGAATCCAAGGGGTTTGATCCAAGGAGCAAGGGAGCGTATCAAAATAGGGGTTTTGAGAGGTGTGTGATGAACAAGGAATAAATAGATTTTAAGGAGTGGGAAAGTGAACTGTTAGAATAACAGAGGTTTTTAATGGTCAAGAATAATTGAGATTTTGCCAAGAAATTTGTTTTGGAAAGAGCGTAGGATTGGGGGAATTGTAGGATATTTAACAAGATCCTGGGATGATAGGAAAGATACTGGTGTTTGCAAGGACAGTAGGTTTTAAGGGGAGTCAATGATTAATAGATCAAGCCAGGTATCTGTGGATGGGTAGGTTGGAGAGGTACAATATAATGCCAAGGGAAAAAAATAGGTCAACAAGGTAAGATCTAACAGGAGAAACAGTAAGAAGGTTGATGTTAAGATTACCATTGTCATGTTTTGAAAGACAGGTACATGTGTAAGATGTTGAGGATTCGAGTATAGGATCAAAATGGAGATGAGGAGAATGGTTAATAACAATATAGACAACAGAGAAGGTGTCTGAAGAACTTTGGACAGATAGGTATTCTATATGTGGAATTTGAGGAGAAGGTTTAATAGGGTTTAACTCCCTCAGACTATCATGAACGAGCAACTTAGTACCTCCACTAGTTCGATATCCCCAGTCAATCAAATTTACAATAACAAAAATAACCTAAGATGATACAGTGAAAATTTGTTATGAATCCAATGATTTACATTTTTAAAAGTAAATATAAATATTTTTGAACAAATTTTTTTACTTATATGTGTAGTCAGAACAGATCATCTTTGTCTGATTACACTAACCAGATTTGTAGATCAGGAAATATTAAACGACTAAAAAATGAATGAATTTCAGTATGGTTTTTATTTATTTATTCTTATTCTCTCTCAGAAAATAAATTGTATACATAATTAAATATGTGATCTGCCGAATATTGTAACTATCTCATGAGGTCCGTTGAACATTATGCTGTAGCATGTGGCTCTAGAGATTTAAAAAACTGTTCATTTCAATTTACTTTAGTTTTGAATAACAAAATGTTAAAACTCTCTATTGAAACAATTTTTTTTTTGTTATTCTTCTTTAGTTGGGAAATTTTAGCTAATTAGTTATGACGTTGGCTAAAAAACAGGGGAGGGGGGAAATGTTAAAAATACTCAGTTATTATTATTTTCTGACATATGTTTGTCAAATAATCCATTAAAGTTAAAGATATTTCAAAAACAATCAGTATGGGTCAAACCTTGAAAAAGTGGCCAAGAAACACCCATAAATATATTCTAAACATTTCTGATGATAATTTAACTTATTTTTTTAAAGGCATCATTATCTCACATGTAAAGGAATAATTAAAAAGTGGAAAATTGGTTATAACGTACTGAATAGATCTTGAAAAAAACATGAGAGTGAGAGGTATAGCAGTAATCTAGTCATCTTCCCCTTGGTCCCTTCATAAAGGACCTTGATTTAATTATTTTCACAAAAATCTTTCCTCTGCCCCAATTGTTATTAATATAGTTTTAATGTATGTAAATGTGGAGAAAATATGAGTATTAAGGCTCCTACATACAGAATGCGATATGTCTTGGTGATACGATATTCCTGTTGGCGGCGATATGGCAATATAGTTTTATTACTATATATTGCATTATAGAAGACACACTGATATAGCAGTGTTTCTGACAAAGGGTATTGTAGCATTGGGATATACTGCATTCTGTGTGTAGGAGCCTTAAATGCAACTTGTCATTCTGAAAGTATTTCAAAACATTTTAAGTATGGTAAAAACTGTTTGAACTGCCAGAGTAGCTTTAGAAATAGTGAAAGATTTATTAAAAGAAAAGTCCTGTAGAGTAGAAGAACCATTGTGATTGCAGAATAGGTTTAAAATTAACCATTATTTACTCAAAACTTTGTTTTTGTCGCTTGTACCCCCCCCCCTTTGCTTCTAGGGGCTACATATAATGTATCTCTATAAGGTTATGGGGCAACCAAAAGCTTCTTCCAGAGGAACCTAGAAATCCATCAATTGCTCTGAATTTCCTATTAAGACATAATTTTAATATTGTCCCTTCATTATGATAATATATGTAGTTGTATGCTCTATAAAAATTTTTTTCAAAAATGTTTCAATTTAACTAATTTTAAGGTATTTATAAATTGAATCTAATATAAATTATTACACCTTTTTTAGTGCTATATTTAATAAAACTTTGTAATATTTTTTTTATTTATTTAATTATTTACTGAATTTGCCTTTACCAGATAGGGTCATTGGCAATTCTTTCTTCACTCAAATTTTCTATGTTCTATTTTAGAATCCCGTTTTTTTCAAGAAATTCATCAGGATTTTCACATCTCTCTCTGTATCCTGTAATATTTCCTAGGCAGTTCTGTGCATGTTAAGGTTCTTCTTTGTGGCTGGACAGTGTTTACAGTCCACGAGTATGTGGTTCACGAGTTCTAGGGGAACCATATCTGATGCAGGTAGGTGGTTCTCGCCATGGAGTAGATAGCTGTGAGAAAATTTACAGGCCAATTCAAAGGTGGCACAGGAGTATTTCCTCTTTTCTAGATTTCCTGTTACTAGTGCACCATTTAGAACTGTTTGCTTTTATCTGGACTAGTTTGGAGAGGTTTCTTCTCCAGGTCTCATTCTATCGAGCTATTATCTGGGATTTTGGTTGCTTCACCCAGTACTTTTGAGGAACATAATTAATGAATATTACCTCATTATTGTCATTAGTTCAAGCTATTCAGGATGTGATGTCTGCCTTTGCATTACCTTGTATACCATGTATACCACAGTGAGATGGAGCCCAAATAAAATCTGTTACATTTCCTGTCTCTTTATTGATCCAATTAAGTTCTAAAATTTTAACTACGTTTCGATATTTGGTTTTTAATTGCCAGAAGTACACTCATTGAATTAAATACAATAACTGTTTTTTGATGATTGCCTGGTTGGCTATGTTGTAGAGCTTCCTTTATAGCAGTTGCCTCTCTCGTAAAGATTGAGCATAATAATTATTTAATGCAATAATTATTTATTACAAAGAACAGAGATTTTTTCAAACAAATAAACAAGTTAACATTAAAATGACAAATGTAAAAATATTGTTTCAGGTGTCGCCCACCAACTCTGTGGATTACCTTCCAATAACATCTTTCCAGAAGACAGTTACTGAAGGAATGAATAATATAACCAATCTTACAAGGAACACACTTATTCCTCAATTTTCAAGGTATGGTATTATCAGTTATAATAATGTACAACATTCTGCTTTAAGAAGTTACCTATCGTTTTCTAATGATTTTGCAAAAGTTAGTCTAATATTGGAATGCCTAAAATATATTTCAGCTTAAACATTGTAAAAATATATCAATTATTAAGGTTTAATTATCAGCAGTACAATATTCTTACTCGAGACAGGTACACATGGATAAGCCTTAAAGAAGGGAAAAACCAAATTGACAATGTACTAGTAAACAAGAGAAATTAGAGCTCAATACAAGTTATAAGAAGCTATCGTGGAGTAAACTGTGATTCAGATCACACTCTGATTAGAATTAAACTATGTCAGAGATCTAAATATTTAAATGCTTACACATAATGAGTGTGGAAGTTTTAAAATTAGATCAACATGTAGTATAATATTAAATGAGAAAACATGCAATTTTTTATATATAATAAAAAGAAATAATATTGAAAATTTCTTTTTTATTAAATGACACAACTGAAATTGAGTGCAATACTTAACTCATTTAAGGAACAAGGTTTATTTTAGAAAAAAGTAAGACTGATTTGATATAAAAGAAAAGTTAGAAAGAAAATTTGTATGATAGGTCTACAACTCTTGATTTGTATACCATATTGCTCTAAAACTACTTAAGGTGGCAGAGCTCATAACAAATATCCTATTCTTTAACATCATTATCTAATAATGATGCATATAATAATAATGCAATATATAAAAACCTACTTTTCAAGATTTTGACACCAACAGGACAGCTACAGAAGGACAATGTCAAGTAAAAGCCTCAGACTAAACTGAGCACAACTAACTTACTAGACCAATACAAAACAACTAGTGAGCTCCATCACTAGAAACAGATCCCATATTCCTAAATTTCTCAAATTGTCCACTCCTCTCACGTCTCTTTTAAAATGCATCCCATACAATAAAATAGTTTCCATCATACCCACATCCTCTTTCCCCTTATATAAATTCAAAATCTCATGGAACTTAGGAGGAGAAGAAAAAAGATGGTTTGTAGATGAAGGAAAAAACAATATTCATTTTTTTAATTGAAGGCCTTGATCTCACCAGATAATTCCCCCTTCTGACTTTCAAGAAATCAGCAAGTCCAGGACTAACCTTCTTTTGGCCTCAAAGATAGTATCTGTTTATTAATATTGGTGTGGGGAAAAAAAGATAAGGTTGTATATAAAAGATTTGATAATGGATAACAGAGTTTCTATTGGCCAATGATGTAATCTTTCTCACACTATTTATTATGCAGAAGATGACTGATGTTACATTTGTGTTCGGTTCTTACTGTATCTTCTGATCAAAATAGCAATATTTTCCACAGACAAAAATGCATAAAAACATCAATTTTCTTTATTTGTAATATCGCTTAATAGGTCATATATTTTCTCTTTTATTTTTTTGAGGAAACTATTCTACTTAAGATGAATTAGACCTCTTTTGACTATTTGGATATCTTTATAAGCTCTTCTTTAATTTCTTTGTGGTGGAGAAAGGAAGGGAAAAGGAATCATTATGAAACATGAGTCTTACACTGGAATCAGAAAAAAAAATATTTTTTTTTTAATTAATGGTGTATAGATTCTCAATTCAATTGATAAACATATTTAATTTTTATAATTTTAGTGTGTTGTCCCATCCAGACACGAATAGTCATAAATATGAAGATGGTATTCCTCTAAGACCTTTAACTGTTTCAAACGGTGACACTGAAAGAACTTATCGCCCCTACCAAACAGGAGAGTAAGTAATTGCTTATGTTTTTAAAAATAATATGTACATTTATTTTTTAAAATAATTATTATTATTTAACTGTTACTATTATTTCTCTAAAGCAATCTAGTTAGTTTCAAAACATTACATTATTTTTTTTTTAAGACATATTAAATAAACAATTAATTGTACAGGAAGTTGTAGTATTGAAAATAATTTATTTAAAATTCATTTTCAGCAAAAATTCAATAAATTATCTGCAACTTCCAGTTGCTTATGGTAAGGATTCTTATTTATTATAATTAATCAGAATTTTCCAGAGCTAATACGAATTTTTAATAACAAAATTGTTTGTTTGCCGCAATTAACTTTCATTGTTTCAAAGATCATGTGTCAGTAATAAATATCTTTAGACATATAAATGATATACTTGAAGGAATATATATATATATATATATATATATATATATATATATATATATATATATACATACACAGCAGAATCAATCATAATCACGTATAGTATATTGCAAAACAAATTTAGATAGCAAGAGTAGGAAGCTGAAAGACAACTCTTGTTCAAATAAAAACTAATTTCATTCTGAAATATCAGGAAAACAATGTAAAATTTAATATTTTACATTTATATGCAAATATTTCAAACTAAAGGTGAATGTTCACTAGATTAACGAAGTGAAATGACTTGTATGTGTTATATGTAATAGTGTAATCAGACAGACCATGAAGTGAGTTTATTTTATCTATTCTAAACTGCTCAATTTTATTTGAATTTTCTAGTAATTAAAGATACAATTTTAAATGGATTATACTGACAAGATAGCCTTTTTTCTTAAATGTGAATACACATTTTAAAACAATGTTTGTTGAAAAATTGTAATTGAAACATAGTTGCTAAAAATTCAATATGCCTGAATTTAAATTAATCATTTTGGTTGAAGAGTTTTTAAACTTGGCATGGTTTTCCAGGAGTTTCTGAGTTAATTAACAACCCTTCTAAAATAAAAATAATAAAATGTTAGTTAAGTTAAACAAGTTAACTAAAATTAGTTTGGGTTTTAAATCAAATTATATTTGGTAACTTAGGTGGTTTAGTAGAAATAATATTTTAAAGGAAAAAGGTAATAATATTTTATAAAAATTTATCTAAAGCAGATAAATTAATTTCAGTAAAATTTGCTTTTTCTTCCTTTTTTATGATCTTGTGATTTAGTGGGTGAAAGCCTTGATTTGGTTGGAATATAATGCTCATGATTATCATCCTAAAAAAATAAATTGAAAATATATGTCTAGAAAAGTTAGATTTTGTTTTTTTAAAACAATTAAATAAATGTAAAAAGAACCTAATCTCAATCAAGGTTCATATTTCAATATTAAATACCTAATAAAAATAAATAAAATAAAAATCTCAATAAATTTCAACATAAAAGGTGAATTAAAATTGCATGCACTTTAATGGTTTATCAAAATATGGCCGAAAGCACACTTAGTGAAGCTGTGAAGGGTATGACATAAAATTGTGTGTTTGAATCCATTTTGAATAAGTGCTGAAGCTTTTCACCACATCTCAAAGTACTAGCTATACCAATCTGACCACAGGCAGATCTACAGGGGGGAGGGCTTTCGGCTTGAAGCTCCCCTTCCTCCAAAAAATGGTAAAATATAACCATGTTTTATGAAAAAAATTATCTCTAAAAGTATTATTGTTCGTCTTATCACATTTAATAGGACTTAAAGAATCACTTAAACACCACTTCATATAGGTACTTAGTTTCTTTCTTTCTTCTGAAGTAATTATAGTAATATACATACAAAAAAAAATCTTTCAGGCTCAAGCCCCCTACTAAAATTAAGTCCTGGATCCTTTAATGAATCTGGCTATTATATATCTTAAAATTATTATTAATTGTAATTAATTTCATTGCTGAAGACTAATTATAAATTTATATTATTGCTTGATAATTTCTGTATACTGTTGATAAAGTTTACTGCACATTACAGTTAGGGTTTGATTGTTCACATATTCTTGTTTTAACTTAAAAACAGGGTAATGGAGTAATTTTTAGAAATTAATTATTACACACTAAAATTACCCATAATTAAAATACACAATAATTATTAAAATCTTATTTCTAAATTATATTTAAAGGAAACTAGTAACAAAAATGTACTTACCATTGTTGAACATTAAAATTCTATACAATGAATAAGTTACTTGTCCCAGTTAGGATAATACTATTAATGAAAATTAGTAGAAATAATAAGAAGCTAAACAAAAACTCAGATGTTTAAAATCTAAATGTATGCTATTTATATTTAATAAACACTAATATTAAACAATACAAAAACTTAATATATAACATAATGTATACAATACAGACAAACTGTCCATCTGAAAATGAAAAACCATATAACTTTAACTACTATCTAACCTCTAATCATTCTCACTTAGTATTATGCAAAAACCTGTTCAGTGTAGTTCACCATTTATTTCATTTCAGCAGTTCAACATAGTAAATATTAATTTTTCAACAATTTAAGTACAATCTTATCACAAGTTTTCTTTTATATTAATTTAGTAATAATATCTCAATAGTTAATGTGTATTCTAGTTGATGTAACTTTAGTGTGTAATGATTATTTTCTGAAAATTATTCTATTATCCTGTTTTCTTTTTTTTTTCACTGTAGTAATGAATACTAAGACTATAAAGTCTCAAAATATAGTGGTTTATTTATTTATTGAACCTCAAGATCCTCAAAAATATTTTATATTTACATTCAAAAGATAGAAACCAATATACCTAGTCCTGTCATAAATATTGTTAAAAGGAAATATATACAGATTTGAATATTATATTAATTTTTTTTACAACTTTATTAGAAAATAAAATGTATATCTATAGAGAGTAAAACAAAAAAGAAATTACTCAAAATTTCCCCATTTTGCCCTGAGACAGGCATTTAATCTCCGTGGCTAGTCATCAATTGCAGCACACAGCACTTCTTGAGGAAAGCGTTCAACTGCTTGGCCCAGAGATTGTTTGAGGCTTTCCAAGTTAGGGTGTGCTCTATGGCATGCCATCCTCTCTAGTTTGGACCAAAGCCGATAATCTAGTGGGTTGAGATCAGGGCTTCCTGAGGGCCAATCCGAGGCAGAGATGAACTCTGGAATGTCCTTTTGCAGCGACTGCTGGTTGAGCCCCCCGCAAATAGAAGCATTTTACATCTATCCACTCAAATTTTTTTTAGAGAAGTGGTTAGCCTTTGTCCTGTCATTCTTCGAAATGCACCCATCCTAAGGTCACTTTTTATTATGTGAGATATTGATCCGACCGAGATTCCCATTTACCGAGACATGATTTGTTGTTTTCGAATGGGATTTCTTCTAATTTGAGCAGCCAGTGGTCTCACTGCATTTGCCGTTCTCATAGTGTAGGGACAGTCTGGTCAAAGGTCTGTCACATACAGGTAGGGTCTCATTATATCTATTTATAGTACGGTACAAGAACATACGGCTCATACCCAAAAGTTTCAAAGTGTTGAAAATCTCTGACCTACATTTTCCAACTTTGTGTGAGGCGATTACAGCTATTCGGTTTTCTTTATCACCACACTCCATGTTAACTGAGCAAAAGAAAAATACAAACTAATTGGGATTATTATCCTGACATGTAAAGAAAATAACCTGATAGAGTAAGGAGTATCTAAATAATAACCAAGGATGTAAACAAAGTTCAACTTTTGTAACAGTATTTATGGCAGAACAAGGTATAATGATTTTAAGATGGCATACAACAAAAATTTAATAAATGCTATCCTAAAAAAATATTTGTATTTCTAAAAAGAAAAAAATATATATGTCTTTTCCAATTAATTTATAAACCAAATATCAACAAACATTTTTTCAGTGAAATTTAAAAGACATTTTAAATACTAACAATAAAAACTATTAATAATAATTAAAACCAGGATTATAATATATACACACACATATATATATATATATATATATATATATATATATATATATATATATATATATATATTGTAATATACACCTTAATTGAAAGTTGTTAAAAATAGTTTAATAAATGAATGTAACAGTAAAAGGCAAGCTAATCTAGTTCTACTAGTTCAGGGAAAAGCAAATAGCTGCTCTTTAGTTTTCCCAAAAAGGAAAATCCCAAAGAGGGGATGGGACATAGGATTTTGTTTTGGCAAGCAGTTGTGTGGCCGCAGTGCAGAAAGAATAAGAGAAGGGATCCTGGCTCCTGTGGGTAAAACCCAGTAATAGTATTACCATCTTGGAAGTTGTTTGGCTGGGATGTAATACACACCGTAATTGAAAGTTGTTAAAAATAGTTTAATAAATGAATGTAACAGTAAAAGGCAAGCTAATCTAGTTCTACTAGTTCAGGGAAAAGAAAATAGCTGCTCTTTAGTTTTCCCAAAAAGGAAAATCCCAAAGAGGGGATGGGACATAGGATTTTGTTTTGGCAAGCAGTTGTGTGGCCGCAGTGCAGAAAGAATAAGAGTTGGGATCCTGGCTCCTGTGGGTAAAACCCAGTAATAGTATTACCATCTTGGAAGTTGTTTGGCTGGGATGTAATACACACCATAATTGAAAGTTGTTAAAAATAGTTTAATAAATTAATGTAACAGTAAAAGGCAAGCTAATCTAGTTCTACTAGTTCAGGGAAAAGAAAATAGCTGCTCTTTAGTTTTCCCAAAGAGGGGATGGGACATAGGATTTTGTTTTGGCAAGCAGTTGTGTGGCCGCAGTGCAGAGAGAATAGGAGAAGGGATCCTGGCTCCAGTGGGTAAAACCCAGTAATAGTATTACCATCTTGGAAGTTGTTTGGCTGGGATGTAATACACACCATAATTGAAAGTTGTTAAAAATAGTTTAATAAATTAATGTAACAGTAAAAGGCAAGCTAATCTAGTTCTACTAGTTCAGGGAAAAGAAAATAGCTGCTCTTTAGTTTTCCCAAAAACGAAAATCCCAAAAATGGGATGGGACAAACGATTTTGTTATGGCAAGCAGTTGTTGTGTGGCTGCAGTGTAGAGAGAATAGGAGAAGGGATCCTGGCTCCAGTGGGTAAAACCCAGTAATAGTATTACCATCTTGGAAGTTGTTTGGCTGGGATGTAATACACACCATAATTGAAAGTTGTTAAAAATAGTTTAATAAATTAATGTAACAGTAAAAGGCAAGCTAATCTAGTTCTACTAGTTCAGGGAAAAGAAAATAGCTGCTCTTTAGTTTTCCCAAAAACGAAAATCCCAAAAATGGGATGGGACAAACTATTTTGTTTTGGCAAGCAGTTGTTGTGTGGCTGCAGTGCAGAGAGAATAGGAGAAGGGATCCTGGCTCCTGTGGGTAAAACCCAGTAATAGTATTACTATCTTGGAAGTTGTTTGGCTGGGATGTAATACACACCATAATTGAAAGTTGTTAAAAATAGTTTAATAAATTAATGTAACAGTAAAAGGCAAGCTAATCTAGTTCTACTAGTTCAGGGAAAAGAAAATAGCTGCTCTTTAGTTTTCCCAAAGAGGGGATGGGACATAGGATTTTGTTTTGGCAAGCAGTTGTGTGGCCGCAGTGAAGAGAGAATAGGAGAAGGGATCCTGGCTCCAGTGGGTAAAACCCAGTAATAGTATTACCATCTTGGAAGTTGTTTGGCTGGGATGTAATACACACCATAATTGAAAGTTGTTAAAAATAGTTTAATAAATTAATGTAACAGTAAAAGGCAAGCTAATCTAGTTCTACTAGTTCAGGGAAAAGAAAATAGCTGCTCTTTAGTTTTCCCAAAAACGAAAATCCCAAAAATGGGAGGGGACAAACGATTTTGTTATGGCAAGCAGTTGTTGTGTGGCTGCAGTGTAGAGAGAATAGGAGAAGGGATCCTGGCTCCAGTGGGTAAAACCCAGTAATAGTATTACCATCTTGGAAGTTGTTTGGCTGGGATGTAATACACACCATAATTGAAAGTTGTTAAAAATAGTTTAATAAATTAATGTAACAGTAAAAGGCAAGCTAATCTAGTTCTACTAGTTCAGGGAAAAGAAAATAGCTGCTCTTTAGTTTTTCCAAAAATGAAAATCCCAAAAATGGAATGGGACAAACGATTTTGTTATGGCAAGCAGTTGTTGTGTGGCTGCAGTGCAGAGAGAATAGGAGAAGGGATCCTGGCTCCAGTGGGTAAAACCCAGTAATAGTATTACCATCTTGTAAGTTGTTGTTTGGCAGAGAGAGTAGTTGTTTGGAATCAAAAGAGAGAGCATCTCCTAGGGAGCTAGAGTTGAGTAGCAGAAAGTGTCACCATTTTGGAAGATGTGTTTGGCATAACATAGGAAAATGATAGAAGACAAATGAATTTAGTGCAACAAAAGAAGGAACAGTAAATATAGAAAAAAGGTTAGCTTGCCAATTCATACTTGACTTTATTTTAAAATCAAACTGTGTAGTTAATGTTAGTTTGTCTGAGTGTTTTGATCTAATTGTCAGTAACCCACACCTGAGATAAATAAATATATTAATACTCTTATAATTTTGTTTATTATTTAATAACCTTTTATTTATTTAGAAAGTATCTCAATGATAGAAAGTGATTGTCCTAGGTTTTATTATTATTATTTGTAAAATATTAGAGAGATGTTATAATATATATATATATATATATATATATATATATATATATATATATATATAAAACTATATAATAGGTAGACTGTATATTTTATTCTTCAAATATAGATAATTTCCATTCAAACATGTTCCTGTTTATTACTATTACTTTAAGAAGCTTTCATTACTTTTCACCATATTCATCTTTAAAAGACATTTTACAATAGTTTATTATCATTAAAATCAATCTTCTACTTTCCTTTTATTTTTTGCTCTCTTTGATTTTTAATTTTAATCTACAGATACATTTTAAAAGCAGTAAGACAATCTATGATTCGAAAGGGAAAAAATATGAAAGAAAAACTACATCCAGAAGGATGAATATAAATTAACTCATAGGTATTTGGATTGCGCAGAATCCTTGTGGCAATTTCAATAAATTGTCTATTATTGCATGTACATGTATGTTGATGTTTTATATATATAAATGTTTTTTTACCTGAATATGGTGTAAAGCACTGAAAGCTTATTGAAATGATAGTAATAAACATAAGACTGTTTGAATGGTAATTGTCTATATTAAAAAAAAAAAGTATTTATATCTCAACTCCCGTCATAAATACGATTTTTTTTCATTTTTAGTTTAATATATTAGGTATTGAATGGAGCTATCATTAAAATTGTTTACCTCTATAATCATTTTAATTTTTTTATCAAAATATTAAAATTTTATTCAAACCTAATAAATAAAAAAAAAGGTAAAACATGACTTAAATATAAAGCATTATTTTCTTGCCTGGTGTGTTACCTAACAGCATGTATATGTGTGTTTCTAATAGTAACAAACACGAGGAAGGAAGGTGTGACCTCTCCCCTTTTCACATGAGCCGGCTTGGCTGTATAGGAGGAGGTTCACCACCACCTAGTTTTTCACGTATTGCTAGTGGTTTGAAACTCGCACAAACACAGGCTATGGCAGTAGCTGTAGCAGGTTTTATACCACAACCTAAGCGCTCACCATTACTTCATAGAGCATCATTCCATGGGCGAGGTATGAACATAATAACTAAACAGAGCTACTTACCTATCTCAATATTAGTTTTGGTTCGAGAAATTTTAAATATGTGAAAAATTACAGTTACATATCTTCTAATCTCCATTGAGATATAAAATAGTATGAATAGATAAATAGATTAATGCTTAACTTAGTTGCCTTCCTATTGACAAGATAATATTTAATTAAATGAAAATTTATTTCTTGTTATACCTATTTCATAATAGTATACAACCATGTTAAAGATAATAAAGTGACTTTCAAGGGTCTAATTATGATAACAATAGCTTTTTAAAGGTTTATAAAACTTTTTCCTCAATTTTCATGATTCTGATTCATCTGATATAATTAATGATATAGATCAAAGTATAATTTTAGAATGAACATAATTATGTTGAAAAATATAATTATTATTTTAGCATTAATCATATGACAGAATGGATATTTATAATAACCTTTGAATATGTTACTTGTAGCATCTCAAATATGACAGATTTAAAAAATAATGATAAAATGCCTGAAAATCAAAATATTATCAACAAAAATATTTATGCTATAGATAATGAAAAAGCCATGATATATGCTTGAAATGAAAAACGTTCTTCATTTCTATGTAAACCCCTCTAAGAACAAAAACAACTGGATATAAAGACGTGTTTCTATTCTATCTGAGAGCATAATTTGTAGTTAAATGATGATGTAGGTGATATTTACATACAAAATTTAATTTGAAAGGATTGAGAGTTGACGAGGTAAAGGAATAATAGTTATTTTCAAGATGCTAAGGAAGAGACTTAACAAACAGTAATATACATTGGCCGGTTATTGAAAACCAAGACGTGAAAGAATGGTGGAGTAAGAATAGAGTGGAAGTATGGAAAAGCCTTTATGAACTGTGTTGGAGAATAAAAACCAAGGTAATGATTCACAGAATCTTTGGAACAGTTTATGAAGAGTAATATATTGTTGGAATAGTTGGGCTATATGATTATTTCTGGACAGGTTTTGATGGAAGATGACTCTGAGATTTTTAATGTCGTTATGAAATGGATTAGTAATGCAATACAAGGAAAAGGGATTTGAAATCAATGATGATGGCTTTAGCTTTTCCTGCATTCAGCTTCAACAGATTGTTCTCAACCCAGTGACATATTTAATTATCATCCTGCAGCTTACGGCAATATGGTATTAAAGGATATGGATAAATTCAGGTAAATCATTAATATAAATGAAAAAAAAAGAGTGAAAGAAAGAAGCCTTGATGAACACCACACAGGATGGAGAGAAGAAAAGTTTATTAGAACTAAATTAAACAACTAGGAAAAATTCTAGACATTTGTGTTAGATCAATTATCAGTAAAATAATCCATTATTAGGAATAATTTACACCTCTATTATTTAAAAAAAAAAGATAAATTAACTTATGATAAATTAAGGTGTTTTATTTTAATTAATCAAGGTACTAAAGGTGGAGGATCCAATGGAAGTATAGCCACGGAAAGATTGTCTTATTCCTTACCTGGTAGTCCTGCAGATAGAAGGCCAAATTTTCCTGAAGTAATTGGTTCTGCTGAAAGCCTTGTTGGAAGGGTGAGTTGATAATTCATTAAATCCATTTAATTTCCTCTTTTTTCATGTTTGTCATTATAATCTATCTTTCCTTTCCACTGAATAATAATTTTATTTCAAAGTTGGTAACACAAATAAATATAATTTTTTCTCCCATAAATTTTACAACTTTAAAAAATTTTTATTTACATTTTCTTATAATTTTTCATAAAAGAGGTATAAAAATGTGCATGTAGAGAGTAACTGTGAAATCTTCTCATTAAATCCAAACCTGGAACTGGTATCAGCTGTTATTTAAGGAGCATGAATCCTGAACACTTGAAATTTTGCTAATTAGCCACAAGGGTTCTCTAAAGCTGAAGTATAATGAATTTTTAAGAAATCAGTTCCAATCTGTTGAAGTTGGATCTTTCAATTTCTCCTGTAGAGCTGTATCAATGTTTATCCACTACTAGGCATATGTTTTTGTTGTAAATTTTATGGGAAATGGAATCTTCTGAAACAGTTCTTCTAACTACTTTGTGATTTACATTTTTTCTTGACAGTTTCATAATTTTTACACCCTAGCCCGCAATTGCCCCAGCAAAAAATGGCAGTAGGGATAACTACAGATTTCTGTTGTTGGACAAGTGCATGTGATGTAAACTTACCCTTGCCATCATGTTTTGATGGGGCAATAGTGGACTTCTGCATCAAAGCATTTGTTTTTCAAATCCATTTATTAAATAATGTTCCTCATCTCAGATGCCTTCCAGTCAAGGACATTCAAGGTACACCTGTCATCTTGTGCGACTGCATCCAATCATCACAATCTCAGTCTATCTTTTTCTGTAGTATGGTACAAATTTCCTTCTAGCAGCTTTTTAGCGAGATCCTTATCATTCATTCTAGCCACATGGACAGCCCCTCTCAGTTTGTTAATCTTCATCCAGCCAATTATATTAGGCTCCTCTAAAATTTCATACTCTTCCCTGTTGGTACTTCATCTCCATTGACTATTTACATTAATTCCTCTATGAATTCTATGTAGTAGCATTCTTTCAGTGATTGATATTCTTTTTTCCTTAGTCTTTGATGCAGTCCATGTTTTGGGAGCATATGTGAGCACTGGTCTAATCATGGTATTCTATGAAATTATTTTTGTTAATCTGGAAAAAAAAAATGAGAAATCCTCCTGGGGCATACATGGCCTCTATAAAGTAAGAATATTTTGAAAACAGAGAGTAATCATGGCCAAATCACCTCTTTGCAAAACTGTTAACTCAGAAACAATACTTAATTATAACGTATTGAACCTAGGATTCTTCATGGGTTGTAGTGATACAGGTTTTATTTATTTATTTTTTCACTTGTTAAGAGGACTTAAACCTCTAACCTACAAAAATTGTGATATTCACAAAACAGTTTAACATGTCATATATTATTGTCTAATATTCACAGCCATAAAAAAAAAATTAGATCGGTCATCAATGTTAAAGGAAAATTTATATAATGAAAAAATAAAAACAAACCAAGTAAAATCAATTTGAAATGTTTTGTTAAAATGTTATTTATATAGCCTATTTTTATAAAGAGTAAAGATTTATGTCTGTAAAATAATCAAATCCTATTCTTAAAATATATTATCCTTCTTTAATGCTCCTTATTGTGTTATAAATAACATTATTCATATAACACTTAAATGGTCTCTATGTTGCAGATTATAATAATAATAATAATAAAAGGCTTAGCGAACCCGAAGGTTCGATGCCGACACCACCAATCGCTTATTATACACCTCCCTCCACCGTTCGCCGTCCAAACCTAATCCCTTCTGATCGACTTTAATGCAATCTTTCGGACTACCCCTCCGACTTTACCATTCGGTACAGCAAATATCAACCTTTTAGGAATTCTCTCGTTACTAAGCCCAACAATTTTACAGGCCCGTTTGATTCGCCGGGATGAAATCACCTCAATTATATTATCCAGATACAGTTCACTCAATTCGGCGTTGTGTAACCATCTGAACTCTCCGGTTAATTCATCCTTCTTCATTCCGAATATTCTACGCAATACTTTATTTTCAAAAACCTTAAGACGTTGCTCATCCCTTAATGTAAGCAGCCACGTTTTGCAACTATAAAGAACTGTAGGTAAGACAATGGTTTTATAGATTCTAATATTTAAGTTCCAGGACAAGATGCGCGAGCTAAGTAGTTTTGTCACAGAAAAATAACAAGCATTTCCCACCTTCAGTCTAACCTTAATCTCTTCTTCAATTTCGTTTTTTCTAGTTATCGTAGACCCAAGATACCTAAACTTCTCTACCTGTTCAAACATATTACCATCCATATCAATATCACCAGTAATATTGCCATTTTTGCAGCTAACCATATATTAGCGGCTTTTCTTTTTTCGCACATGTTTAAGTAATCTTAATCAAACCACGGTTTGTTATTCTTATTTTCCTAGACACGAGTTACCGACCGCTTTAATATTATCCCTGGTCTCTACCCATAACTTGTCAACATCCTTGCGGTCCTCTTCAGAAAGTTAAGCTAAAGCTTCAAACCTATTCTTAAAATTTAGCTCGAATTGGGTTCTAATTGATGGATTTTTTAATTTTTCCAAATTAAAATTCTCAGAATCGAAACAGTTTTCTTTTCTCTTTTTTATATTAAATTTTTGTCGAAGTTTCACGATTACTAATTCATGATCCGACCCACAGTCTGCTCCGCGATAAGACCGTAAATTAATTATACTGCTTTGCCAGGCTATGTTGTATCAAGACATGATCAATTTGATTTCGTGTTTGCGAATCCGGTGATTTCCAAGTATATTTATGAATATCCTTATATTTTTTTTTTTTTTTTTATTTTTTTTTTATTTTTTTTTATGCAATTTGCACCTGCGCAGCTGCGCATCTAGCAAATTTGTTGTATTTTTATTGTCTTGGTGTAATTGCTTGATTTTTTTTTTTTTTTTTTTTATTGATGTAGTAGGTCTCTTGGCCATTTTCTTCTTAATCTTCGTTGCTCAGGTAACAGGGAGCAGGAGATAGAAAGAACCAGAGGATTGGAGTGATTTTGGGTTGAAGAATGAAATGTAGTGTATTTGTCGTGGATGTAGGATTTTACTGTTGGGATGTTTAAGTCGTTATGTATAGTAGTGTTTGAAATGTACCAAGGTGCGTTAACAATTTTTCGTATAATTTTTGATTGTGCTGTTTGTATTTTGTTTATGTGTGTTTGTTTTGCTGAACCCCAAAGTTCTGCTCCATATGTCCATATTGGTCTCAGTAAGGTGTTGTAGATAAGTCGCTTGTTTCGTAAGTTAAGTGAAGATCTGTAGTCCAGAAGATGTGAAAGTTGGCTATATCGTCTAGTAAGTTCTTGTCTTTTTAATTTCGTATGTATGTTCCAAGTAAGCCTTTTGTCTAAGTAGAGTCCAAGGTACCGTACATAGTTCTTTGAAGGCACTGGATTATTGGCAATCGTTATGGGTGGACATGAGGCTTTCCTAAGAGAGAAACTAATGTGGGTGGATTTTGTACTATTAATTTTGATTCTCCAGTTTTCAAACCACTTTTCAAGAGAATGAAGATGGTTTTGTAGGGCAATTGATGCGATAGTAGGATTTTTGTGTGAAGATAGAATAGCAGTGTCGTCAGCGAAGCAATAAATGGTGGTATTAGGGTGCTCAGGGATGTCAGAAGTGTATATAGAATAGAGGATTGGGCTCAAGACGCTACCTTGTGGTACGCCTTTGTGTTGGGGAAAGAAGGAAGATACAGAAGAGTCTACGGAAATACAGAAAAATCTATTAAGAAAGTAGGATTGAAGAATTAAAAAATAAGTGGAAGGTAAGTGCGGTTTTAGTTTCCATAATAGGCCCTTGTGCCAGACACTATCAAATGCTTTCTCTATGTCGAGAAAGACGGCAGAGCAATATTCCTTTTTTTCAAAAGTCATAGAGATAGCATCTACTATCCGATGGCACTGTTGCACAGTAGAGTGATAACAGCGAAAGCCAAACTGGTGATTTGGTATCACTTCACTATATTCTAGAATAGGCTTCAGTCGGTTTAGTAATAGTTTTTCAAATAGTTTGCCCATTATTGGAAGAAGTGCTATAGGACGATAGGATGAAGGAGAAGTGGTAGGTTTTGAAGGTTTGGCAATCATTTTGATTGTGGAGAGTTTCCAAAGGAGAGGAAAATAGGTAGTGCGTAAAATGGAGTTATAGATATGTGTAAGAAACAAAACAGCTTTTCGAGGTAGGTGTCGAAGAATGAAGGGAGTGATTAGATCATAGCCAGGAGCTTTTTTGTTTGGTAGTCTGTTGATTTCTTTGTAAATTTCTTTCGGATGAAATGCCGGTGGGGGTAGTGATAAGGGTAGTGGTGTTGTCAGTTCTTCTTCTATTGCGTCAGTAAAATTATTGTCCTGTATTCTGTTTGTCCCAAATACTTGTGCAAGATATTTAGCGAATTCATTGGCTTTTTCTTCGCTTGTTATTGCCCAAGTGTTGTCTGTACGTCGGAGAGGGTATTGAAGGTCTTTTTTCTTTAGTATACGTCTTGTTGTTGTCCATATTGATCCATTTCTATTGTTTATTGTGTCTATGTAGTCTTTATAGCTGTCATTTTTAAATTTTAATAGTTTTTCGTGAAGTTTTCTAGTTAGTTTGTTGAGTTCTGTTTTGTACGATGGATATCTAGTTCTTTGCCATAGGGCTCTAATCCTACGTTTTTCTTTTATAAGATTATGTATTGGCTGAGGTAGGTAAGAAGCAGGTTTAGTGTATGTCTTTGGTGGTCTCGTTGAATGCCAAATAGCCTCTTGTATACTTTTTGTTAGGTCGTTGACTGCATTGTCGAGGTCGTCAGCTGTACTAATTAAAGTGTTTAACGTAATTTTGTTGTTTAAAAAATGTTTAAAGTCGTCCCAGTTTATGTAACCGTTAATTAATGTCGGGCGTTTGGGTTTAACGAAAGGGTTGTTCGAAAGTTCAAGTAAAATTGGGCTATGATCAGATGAAAGGTCAAGGAGAGAGGAAACGTTGGAATGTGCATGTGGTAAGGAGCTTGTGACAAAGAAATCAAGAAGATCGGGAGACTTTGATAGTGAAGTAGGCCAGTAAGTAGGTTGAGATGGCGAAATTACAGAAAATTTCAAATCTTCAATACATTTTTGTAGTCTTTTTCCACGAGTATTGGACACTCTAGATCCCCACCTTGTGTTTTTTGCGTTAAAATCTCCTCCTACAATGAATGATTTTCCCATTGTCGAGAAAATAGCCTTTAATTCATTCGTGGATATAACTTTATTGGGAGCTATATAGACTGAGGCAATCGTGAGTTGGAATTTTGAGGAGTTTAGAGAAATATTGGTGTATTGTAGGGAATTCGTAGAAGCAGCAGGAAGAATATGGTGATTTAAGGACTTGTCCACAATAATTGCAGTTCCTCCATGTGCTGTGTGGTCTGGATGGTCAGTTCTGTAAGTTTCGTAATCTTGTAGCTTAAATGTTTGTTTGTCTGTTAAATGAGTTTCAGTAATCAGAGCTATGTTTATGTCATGTTCTTTTAAACAAATTTCCAGTTCATTTTTTCGTTGGAGCAGACCATTGGAGTTCCATAGGAGTATTTTTAGAGAAGGTGATTTCGAATTAGTCATTGGAAGGATTAGAAATGAAAGTAGAAACTAGTTTAGTTAGAAGTTCTAAAATAGGGGATAAAAGGGATTTAAGTTCAGTTAGAAGAGGTTCCATAGAAGATTTTATAGCTGAAGAAATATCAAAAGTTGAAGTAGAAGGTTGGATAGAAGCTGTAGAAGGATATCTCCCTGTTACCTTAGCACAGGAGACCCCTGCCACGGTAGACGGTTTATCACTACTCTGCGGTGTTAGATCTTTCTCTTCTAATTTTTGAACTGATTTAACGTGTTCTTCATTTGTTTCTATTGATATTAATTTAGCTGTTGAAGGATCCATTATATTTGGAGTCTGTGAAGGGAGGGGATCTATCTCTAATCCTGATCCAGAGGTTATATGGTTGACAAATGGTTTGTTTTTTAGATATATTAGTTTTTTGAATGTAGCGCATCCTTTGTAATTGGCTGGGTGAGCACCTTCGCAGTTAGCACAAGTGGCGGGCGTTTCTCTAGTTTTTGTACAGTTTGCTGTAAGGTGTGGTCCAGCGCACTTAACACATTTGGCGGGAAGACTACAGTACCCTTTTGTATGGCCATAGGTTTGACATCTTTGACACTGTGGTGGTTCCTTTCTTAAGTATGGTTCCTCTACTTTTATTCTAGTATATAATAAAAATTCTAGATTAAAAATTTCTTGATTAGTTGGACTTTGTTCCAAATCTATAAAAAATATCGGTAGCGGTACTTTTGTTTTGGGATGTTTTGCGTTACTAATATTTTTTACTCTGTATCCTAGTTCTTCGAGTTCGAATTTGATATCTTCAATTTCTGTAGTGTGATGAAGATTTCGAATGACAACACGAAATGGTTTTTCATTCTGTAATTGATATGTGTAAAATGTTGCATTTTGTGCTTTTAATAGTTTTATTATTTTTCGATAATCATCTGGAGTAGATGGAAATATTTTTGTCTCATTTGTGTTAGAAAGACAATAAAACCCGCGAGGTCCGACTTCTGTTGATAAATTTTGACATAATTCTTTGAAGTTTTTAACTGATTTTAAATTTATAGAGGGGGGTTTAGGAATATTCTTGGTTGACAATTTGTCCTGAGTGTTAGACGACATAGGAACGGGTTGAGGTGCGATTTCTTTGGTTGAAGTAGCATTTGTTTGTTTAAGTAATTCGTTGGATGGGATAACATTTGTTGTTTTTGTGATAGACGATACGTTAGATTTCTGGTTAGTCCCTCTACTACGAGTAGACGCTTCAGTTTTGTCCTGCTTAGAAAGGTTTATGAAGGCAGGAGTCCGTTTTCTATTAGTTACAACTTTAGGTTTTTGAGTTTTTGTCATACTGCAAGTCTAAATGTGACTTGCTATTTGAGGGATGAACTTTTTTATACCAATTGGTTAGTTCTTTTCTTACTAACCTGATAAAAAATTACTAACCTTCTTTTTTTGAAGAGGGGGTATATCTTTCCGGATCAACTTTTTAAAGCTGTTCTTTTTGTTTTCCAGTACTTCTTGCTTTCAATATTTTCGTCTAGAAGTTGATCAATATCGAGTTATTTCAATTTTAATCTAGATTGAATTTTTAAATATATTATATTTATATATTTATATTTAAACGTAGTATTTCTAATTATCAGGTTTTTCGAGATGGCAAAGTTTATGAGACGGATCCCATTATCATTACTATATTCATGGAAACTTTTTTACCAATCGTCGGAATATAAACTTCTTCCCTACCCACCTTTGCGTTCGCCTCACCTACAATTATTTTCATGTAGTTTCACGGTAGTTTATCATAAACCCATTCGAGTTTACCATAAAATTCGCATTTCACTTCATCGTCACTGTCTTCGGTCGGACAATGTATGTTTATTGATGTGATTTTACCAACGTCCCTGAAATATAGCTACTGAAATTCTATCACCAAAGAATTGTACGTACTTCAAAGCGGATAGCAATCTATTCCTAATTAGAAACCCGGTACCTAAACAATGATTCCCGCTTCCTCCGTACCCAATAGTGTACTTTACTTCAAGCTCTCTCCTGGCCAGCGAACCTCTTGTAGAGCCACAACATCCAAGTTGTACCCATTAACCTCATTCGCGACCGATTTTAACCCCCTTGCTGTGTTTAAACTCCTTACGTTCCACCTACCAATATTTAAATCCCTATTTTTCAACTTGCGCCATGAATCCCCTAAAGCAGTCCCCACCCAGAGACCCGAATGGGGAATTAGTTTATGTCCGGATAATGAGCGTTTTACCTTAGGTAGACCCATGACTATTTGTAGTGTATGATAAACTAAAGATATGTGAGTAGGGCATTCAATTCTACATCACACCCTCCAGCAAGTCTGGTAGGACCCTGCTTCCCACAAGTCTGGAGGGTCCCTCTCATTGTTGATCAGCGATTTCATCAGACTTAGCCGGGAGGAACTTCCAAGGAATTTCCACCGATCATCCCCACATCTGCCATGCCTGGGACGCTCCCCATATGTGGTAATGAGCTCCCGTGAGGCTATGTTGGAGATTAGGCCCAAAAATAGATATACCTTTTTTAACTATCAAGTTCTATAAAAACATACTTAATCAAATGGAATAAAATAGTAGAGCGCACCTTGGAACTTATATTTTTAATTATAACATTAGAGACAAAGGCCATTATAGTCCTAGTCAAAGACTAAAAATAGTCATTTAAACTATATTTCTATTTCTGGTTTGTGCATGAAATGAAAACAAAACTTCATTTTTCTTGGAGGCCATGTTTTCTAAGAATAATTTAGAGGACATTGGTATAGTGGTCAAAATAGTCATATCTGAGCTTCATAGGCTCTCACATTTTCAACTTATTTTTCATAGTTAATGAATATTCACACAAGATTAACCAAAAACTTTATCATTACTTTTTATAGGTATTAGCTGAGCAAGGTCTAGGAAAATACTGTGATCCTGAATTTGTGAGATGTGCATCTCGAGAAATGCAAGAGGCCTTGGATATGACCCAAGAAGAAATGGATAGAGCTGCACACAGGATCCTCCTGCAAGAGCGCCAAGGTCGACCTTTGTCTTTCCAAAACACTGACAAAATTCAAACTACACCGAAAATATAGCAGAGTGTTGCTGTACTTTGTATTCAAGTGCCTAAAGTACTTTTGGTCCAATTTTAATACATTTTATACCATTATAGTGCAGGGTACCTTCCTATTTATTTCTGCACTGAAATGTCAAACATTCAGTGGATTGTTTCTTCAGAATTGAAAAGGTTGTGTTTTAAAAGATCTGCGTCCAATATAATATGTATTGGTAAATTATAATAGCTGTTTTTAAAATTCATGTGAATAAACTCTTTTTTGAATATGACATTTGTACTTAATATATTAACAAAAAATAAAAGTAAAATGTGATACATATCTTATTTTATAAACTGTTTTAATACATTTACAATTATCAATTTTTTTAAAGTGAATTGTGTAAATTTGTTAATATATAAGAAATATCTTAATTGTGTTAAGTTTATATTATATATACCATTCAAGACTTTGTACATTGAAAATAAATTTGTATTAAAGAAAATAAGTGCATTTGAAAAATTAGAATATGTATGGTTGGGAATGCTCACAACTGTGTTATTGTTAATTTAGCAAACGCCTAGAGGAATTGTTCATTTCTTACAAGTGTTCACTAAAGAAGAAAAGAAATCTTGAAAGATTTTGATATTGTTAGCTCAATACTACCAAGACTAGTAAAATGTAAACTATAAGTTAACTATATATTAATAACCCAAATCAAAATCATATAGATATATTATAGTTACATATTTACTTGAAATGGTATGAATGATTGTGTCTTTTTATATAGGAGAGGTATTTTACAACTTCATAATGAGCTTGTATAATTGTTACTGTTATAAATTTTGTATTTCAATGTAAGAATGGTTTTGTAATAAGTGAATGTACTAGAGAAAATGGGTTACTATATTGAATATATATTTATTGTATATATTTTGTATAAATATATTATCATTGGCAATGAAAGTTCATCAAAAACTTATTAATTTTTTAATATACCTTCAGTATGTTCATTGTACTTTTAACAAATTATTTATACTTTTAACGCCTATTCATCCCTTTTTTCCCAGTCCGCTGGTGTTCCTCAAGGTAGTATCCTAGGTCCTATCCTCTATACAGTTTATACAGATGACATCCCTACCTATTCCAACACTGTCATCACCACATATGGCGATGTAAATGTATCCTATCAGTAAATAATGACTCATCAAATGCTTCAATCACACATCATAAATCTTGAAGAATGGTGTCAAAACTGGAGAATTAAAATAAACTCCAATAAATCCCATTAAATTACCTTTACCCTTTGTCGTAAACCAACGACTGCCTGTCCTACAGTTTCCTTTAACAATCCTCCACTTATCCCTGTTGAGCAAATCCGATACCTAGGACTCCACCTGGACAAACCACTAACTTGGAATCCTCATACTAGACTGAAAAGACAAGAAACCGCTCGACGTTTCCGATTACTTCAGCACTTACTAGACAAACGCTCTAAACTTCCCATTAATTACAAAAGACTCATATACTTGACTAAATAAGACCTATTTGGACTTACGGAGTTGAGCTATGGGGCTCCACTAACTCATTGAATTCCTCTCGCATCCAATCCTTACAATCCAAAATCCTTTGTAAAATCCTCAACGCTCCTTACTTTGTCACTAATAAAATTATCCATAAAGACCTTAAGGTACTATTTCGCTGGCGCGGTCCACGACCGCGACTGCTCGCGGTTGACCACTGCTTTAGTGGAATAGAAAGGAACCTATTTCGCTGGCGCTGCTCGGCAGTTTAGGTATGACGTCATATCTAAGCTGCTCGTATCTGACTCCTCTTGAAGCAGTGGAGCTGTTGGCGGTTCGGCGGTTGTAGGTTATGTTATCATATCAGAGCATTGATTTGATGATAACAGTCCCGTCGATACGTTTTATTTCCTATGTTTCTTTTAAGTCTGGCAAAATTATAACAAATATTGTTTAAAACTGAAACAATGCAATAGTAAATTATTTTTTTGAGGTTGAAGTAACAAGATTATTTATTTATTTATTCCACCAGCAATATTTTACAGCGAAATACAAATATACCTAAATCCAAACGATATTAAATAAATTAAAGAATCCAACAAATTTTATCGTCAGATAAATACTAAAATCCACCCATTGAAAAAACGATTTGTATTTTTTAATTAAAGTGGTGATTTACTGATTACTATTGATAAAACTCTAAAACATCGCTTGCTGAGATTTAATTACAAATATATGATATTTATTACTAACCAATTATGTATTAATTACTATTATTTTTCAAACTAATAATATGTAATATCAGAGGAACTTTGATGATGAGCATCACATCGAAATACTGATATTCCTTCTCTTTATGAACAACATTTTCTCTTCTTTTTCCAACTCAAATAAAAAAGCGGTAGTCAGAGATGTTCATTATTATAGGATGTTCATTTTTATTATTATATTATGTCCATCTTTTTATCTTCGAAGATACAGCGAAATGTTCGAAGGTTATAGGCAGGTTATAACAACCCCAGTGAGCAGTTTCAGCGAAATAGCTACGCCAACAGCGGTTGGCAGGGGGGAATAGCGGTCGCTGTCGTCGACCGCGCCAGCCAAATAGTACCATTAATGTTCCTTATGTTTCAGATCTGGCCCAATCCAGATAACTATTCTTCCATAATAAACTTCAGAATCATCCCAACCCTCTGGTTTATAACCTTGCTTCCTCTTCAATTCCTGATAACCCTGCGAGGCATCTGAAAAGAAGATGGCCCCGTGATCTCCTAATGTAGTTATATCATTAGAGTGCTACCATTGGGTAGTTATTCAGCAAGTGTATTCATGTCATTATATCTATTATGTCCAAATTCACTAGATGTATTTATTTAATACAGTTGTAAATGTCATAGAAATAAAAAATAAAAAATATATACTTTTAACATAAATAAGTAACATATAAGTTTCACTTATAAAATTATAAAATGGCAAATAAGACTAAGTAGAAATATTTTTATGACCCACAGTTCCACTGATGTTCATGCCACAAGATAAAGATACACAAACATATTACAATCAGTATGAAAGAATAAAAGTCAGAACTTTGTGAAATGAAAGAAAAATAATAGAATAAAAGGAAGCTTTTCATACAAAACTAATGAATTCAATGCAAAAAGAAATATTGATGAAATGTGGGAAAGAATTAAGGGGGGAACCATTATTACCACAGACACAGAAGTATATGGGGTTAGTATATTCGGACCAAAAACTAAGAAAATTTGTCGGTAAAGTGAGGAGATCAAAGAGTTAGTTGGTGGTATAGAAAAAGCCTGGAAGAAATAAATGTAATCAAAGGATCCACAAGCATAGTGAGAATAAGTTGAAAAAAAATCTTGCGAAAATGAAAACTCTTCTTATTTGACATCACAGCCCACATTTTTTTTTGTCCTCCTCTTCCTCACCTGTTAAGCTAAATGAGGTTTTCCCAGACCAGGGACTAAGGGCAGGGAATTAATGCCAGAGTTAAAAGCCTCCCGGGCATCAGGACACAAACTTGTGATTATTTTATCAAATTATCTTTGATCTGGGTTGCCAGGCAAGGACGGTGCTGTGCATTAGCCAGCTCGGCCACCCCACCCCTATTACACCACTTGATGAATCATAGTGAAATGATCAATAATTAATAATATTGATATATTGAAATCTTATCAGACCTTTTGTTAGTATTTTGAATTAAAATAATGTGAAGAGATAAAAAAAAAATTAAAAAGCAACATTAAAAATTAAATTAATGATTACAATCAACAAACGACAACAACAAATAATATAATAAAGCAATAAATTACCATTACCCTAAACGTTAAAGAAAAAGAAATTTAAACAATAATGAGGACTAAATAAATCTAACATTGACTTAATATCCTTTTCTATTATTTAACAATGACAATTTTAAGATAAAACACAAAACAGTTGGATGAAACATATACACATTTTTTTATAGAGAAATTCTATATACATAAAATAATGTTTCAATAATTAACAGACAAATAATGGAACATATTTGTTTGAATCATCCTTAAATTCGTTAATTGATCAATTGACTGACATACAAGGAATGAGATAATGCAGAACATTTAAAATATGAATTTTTAAAATAGGTATTGCCATTTTTATATATTTAACTTATATTTAAAAATAATATATGTACGTAAATAATTCTGAATTGTCCACATTATAATGAAAACTTAATTTTTTAATGAGTTGAAATTTCCAATATTATATATTCCAAAACTTTTGTAATCAAATTTAAAGAATTTCTAAGGAAAATTAGGAATACATTGTAATATTTGAAATTTTCAAGCATTCAAATATTAGTCTTGAATCTGTTTTTCTATATCACTAAAAAAAAATATTTTGGAGATTTGGGGAAATATTTAAAAAAAAAAATGTAATTCTCTAATGAAAATATTTTTCATAACTGTTCTTCAATGAGCACTTGTGATTTCATATCACACCCAGTTGATTTTTCACAAGGTGTACAGGAGACAACTTTCTTATCAAATTTCAAGTCAGGGTATTTTGATATCCAGACTTTAATTTTTGAGGAGACTAGATCTTACTTTCATTATTATTATTTTTATTTTTTTATAATAATGAAAACACTACAAATCAGTTCAATCTCAGAAGGGATACTGAAGGGCTGAATGTATGAGTAAGAATTCAACTCAAAACAATAACAATGAATGGGTTTCTAACAACACAGCTAATTCTAGGAAGGCAGTTTTTTATTGTTCTCAAATACTTAAGGCAAGTTCTATTCCAAGAATATTTTCCACTTGTGTTTATAGTCCATGGTACAGACCCTTTTTTTTATCATTTTATTATAACATTTTTATAATTCATTCCGTATTGAAGGCACATTGGGTCGAGCAGAACTACTGAACCTCACAGATCCTGATGGGAAATGGGGAGTTTAGAGACAAATTCAAGAAGGATGAGAAGAATATTGACCCTTTATTTCCTTAATGCAGTGCCCCTGATACGACTGAGCATGTGGTTATATATTGCACTGTGATGGAGCAAGCCAAAGGCATATTAATGCAAAGGACAGGGCTGATGACCTAGATGAAATTCACCTTCTCTGACTGATGGAAGAGGAGCAATAACCACACTTCGTGGAATTTGTGAGAAAATGGAGACAGAAGGTGGAACCCATGCACTTCACGAAAGGGAGAGGACTTTCACCAGCAGGCCAGGATTTGCAACCAGCTGAAGACTAAGGTGCGGCCCCATCAGTAAGGCACACACCCGTGCACCCGCACCACTGTATAAAACTATTAAAATTGAATTTAAAAAATAAAATAGAGTCTTATTGGCAGCAATAAACGTATGTAACTCACTTCCCAACGTATTAACGCACTGCTACCGAAAACCCGTATACCAAACATGCCAGGAAAGGGAAAAACAAAAAGACCTTTTTTTATCCAATTATTAACATCCCCCTAAAATTTCCTGGATATCTTCATCTCATCATAACAAACAACTTTTTTATTTACAAAAACTCTTGTAATTGGGGCATTTTCAATCTGGAGCTCGGCAAATTCTATCTATTTAATTAAGTACTAAAAATACATGAAAACCCATTTGCTTTCCACTTGAAGTGTAAGATAATTTGATCACAAAATCGAGAATAAAGATGAGCCAGGGGAGCCCAGAAGGAGGTTTTATGATGCTAGTTACACCATCAAAATTTTTAAAGGGGGTCACATTTTGAGGTGGGATTAAATTTATAAGAGGGGCACATTTCGGCGGAGTCATGAATTTTTGAAGTGGAAAGTTTCAAACCAGGACAAGAGGAAAATAAGGAACAGCCCACAGCAAGTGTATATATGATCTACGATCTTTTAAATGTCACTTTCATTTGCAATGTTATTAGGAAGAGAGAAATAAGATATCTGTGGAAGGGGAAAGGGAAGGTTCATATGCCATTGACCTTGGGGAGGATGGGCACCCCTGAGATGACCTACAAAAATATTTGGCTGTTTGGCGTGACCTCTACCCCTAACATCAAAATGAAAAGGTTACATTTGCCATATGGGCTTAATATTTTTGTAGGCATCTTTTCTTTTTTCTTTTCTTTTTTTTTTTTTGTGATCAACTTATCTTATGATTCAAGTTGAATGAAAATGGGTATTTATGAATATTAAGTAACTAATAAATTTAATTAGAAATGACCCATTTCTGAAAATTTTCGTGGATAAAAAATGTGTAGGTTACAATAAGATGAAGCCATTCATGAAGTTTTAGGCAGATAATAACAATTTGATAAAAAGGGGTCTGAACCCCACACTATTACTTCTTTTTTTTGTAATATTAAATTCAATCTTTGCTTGTCACAGAATTATTTACCTTCCTCATATTTGTTTATCTTGAATTATAAATTTAATTTGGGCAATATAGTAAAATGAAAAGGTAAATATAACCCACACATTTATTATATTTGGATTTATAAATAATCTAATTTAGCACAAAAATGTGCAATTTAATGTAACAAAAATCAAAATCATGTAATTCATGCAATAAAATTTAAATATGTTATTCTAAAAATCTTGAAATGGATAGGTATTCAGATTTGGAATTTTTACACACAAGCGAACAAAGTGTGCAATAACATGGAAACCCATTCTCTACTGATAGCATAGACATCTTTATACACTGCACTTAATTCGGCATTTGTTCGTCTTCTCCAGGAACCCTACTCACACCCACTCATATATTCTGTGGAACACTTTCCTTTCGATTTTCAGAAGGGCTTGTTTTTGGGCTTTAGTCATCGTCCAACATTCTGAGCCATATGTAAGAACAGGACTAACGTCTTAGAAATCCTTGTTTTAGAGGCTTTGGACAAGATGCTGCTTCTTATATGGTTTTGGAGCACTAAGTACGTGCAATTATCAGAAAGATTGTATCGCTCTATTTCTTCTGGAATATTATTTTTGTAATTGACTTGAGATCCTAAGTAGATAAATGACTACACCCTTTTGATTCGGTGTGAACCTATTGTAACATATCTTTCTGTGCCTTCCTCTGGTTGTTGGGTACTCATATATTTGGTTTTATCAAAGTTTATCCATAGAGCCAAGCTTATCACTGATTTTTCCAGTATCTCAAAAGCTTTCTTCACTCTGTTGAGGAATTTTCCTTCAAGGTCCAAGTCAACTGCAGATCCCAAAACTTGCTATTTGTTTAATAAAGTTCCTTGTGTATGGATATCCAAGCCTCTAATTACTGTTTTCAGGAAAAAGTTGAATACGAGACAGTCAAGGCTCTCCCCTTGTCTAACTCTGACTTCATTCTAAAACCTCTTGATAGATTTTACATATTTCTTGACAAAGGATCTATTATCCTCCATCATCATTTTCACTAAAAGAATCAGTTTAAAGTGCAAATTGAGGAAACAAAAGAAGACATGAAAAGAGTTTAGAAGATCAAAGCTTAATAATTTAATACTTCATATCAAACATTTCTGCACCACAGTTTTGGAAGATGAAAACAAAATAATTAAAAGGAGAATATCAAAAATAACTGAAGCAAAGTTAAGGCATCAAGGAGTAGAAAGCAACCTCAACTTAATTAACAAGCCCTTTAAGCTTATTTAACAAGGAAGTTTTTCTAAATATGGGAGATCTGTAGTCTATTATGTGAATGATAAAGAAAATTGCAAATAATCCTTTATTTTATACAAAACAGAACTATTATAATTTAGCTGCTTCAAATGGTTTTAACAAATACAAATTCTATTTGTTTTTAAAGAAAAAGTTGTCTAGTTTATGACATCATAAACTATTGTAAACTATCATAACTATGTCACTACAATGGACACATGTCTATTGGGAATTACATAATTTAAACAGTTTTATGGTTATTGCTTTCTGCTTCTTGATCATGCACACAGAATGTGATATGTCTCCGCGTTCCAACCGTGATATGTCCCCGCGTCCCACGTTCAGCCATCTCTTTGTCTGCATCATGGAAGATCATGATCTGTGTAATTATGATAGTGAAAAAGAATGTAAAACCCCTTTATCACCAGATAGCCACAGACAGTAGTGTTGTGTCTCTTCGGTATATCATGTTTTAGGTGCTTGAGGTTTTAAACAAAAAACATGAAATAATTTTAAAAAATACATTTAAATTTCCTACTTTTCTGTATGAAATTGTACCATATGAACTTTTTTTTATAGGATTACTACAGCACTATTATTTATACCACTGCACATTAGTGAAACTTTTGCAACTATATGATTTAGTTTATCTATTTTTCCTTTTTTCTATGGATCAACCTGGTATAATGAGAACTGATTTTACAAAGGAAAATGAAATAATTTCTGTGAGACTAAAAAAATAAGTATAATTTATTTGTTTATGTTCTTACATTGTATGTGAATGAAGCTAATACTGATATAACACTCATGTTCTACATTTGCCACACATATGCACTAGAAAAACCACAATTTTCTAAAATGGCATTGTCTGATAACGAATATTCTTTCACCAAGGATAATTGTTTTTTCTTGTTATAATCTAATACATAGCGTCCAGGGTCACCAATAAAAATACTGATGGCATTCTTTCTACATTTGAGTAACCATTGAAATAATATATCTCCAAATTCACTATCATAAAATAAATCACCAATAAGTATAACATCAACTTTCATAAGAAGAGATGAAAGGAGCAAATTTTGATTATTTATATGAATTTTCACATTGTTTAATCTTGAATTCATAGATATAACTTCACAAGCAACTGCAAAAAAACAAAATAAATAAATACAAATTAGTAAATAAGTGGATAATGAATAAATATTCAAATATACTTCAATTCTACTTAAATTTTCAACAAAATATATAAATAATTAATAAAACTTCCAATTTACCAGGCACATCCCGACAAAAATAGCACTCACAACAACAAAGTTCAACTTCATTAAAAAAAATAATTTATTGAGTTTTCAAAAATTTAAAGTTGTAATTCTAGTATTGCAAGGGCTGTTTATTTGACTATCCAGCTCTCCATTATCTCAGTGGTCATTGAGGTCTGTGGTTTACACATCTATTCCAACAGTGATTAGTTGTAAATTTTCACAGAACTTTCCACTGTAATGGCTGCTACCCCCAATTAACTGTGAATTTCTGGAGCTATATTGGTTACCAAATCCAATTTATTTGTGGGATACCACATGGCTCGAAATCATTTTTGGAGAAAAGACATGGACTGTTAGAACACATCTAAATTTGAGCAGTTTGATATCTAGACTCAGGTACTTCTGGATTTATTGTCAATTGTTTTGAACAATATTGTTATTCTTAAGGGACCTAGTCCGAGAATAAAGATGTTTTTCTGTTTCTATTTCTATAAAGTGCAATGAAGATTTTCTTATTGCTTCAATTACTTCATCAAGTGTCCCATTTGTGTTTGAAAACATGGAAATTTGCTCACTAAGGTCTTAATGATTTTCTACTGGAACAATTTGAGTTTTCCACAACTGAAGAAGTTTGATGATGAATCATATCTGGGTGAAATGGATGAGGTGACCGTTTACAGTTGTTGAGTTGGTGGAATAGATAACAACTCTTCCTCACTTCTTTAAGTAAATGTTGTTTAGTGCAGGACTTGTGAGTCTAGTGAGAATGACCAACCTCACCTAAACTAACCACTTCTTCAAAATCAGAGACTTCATTCAAGACATAAGAAGATATCATGAAGCAGACTATGACTTCAGCTACACTCTGATTAGAATCAAACTCTGACAGAAGCTGAAACAGGGCCACAGAATAGAGGAACAAGTGGAAAGGAAGTAAGAATTCCGTGGTCTGAAAAATTCTGAAATAATAGCTGAATTCCAACTTAAGCTAAAAAATAAATTCAAACTTTAAGACTCAGAGGGCTCCATGGTAGACCAACACTAGGGAGAATTAGGGACAGGACTATAAGAAACAGCAAAAGATGTGGTAGAAATTCAGGAAAAACAAAAAGCCAAGAAGTGGTTCACAGAAGCATGAAAAAATGTGATGGAGAAAATAAGAAAAATGAAAGTCCTCTATCTAGCCAAAACTGATCAAGCTACTAAGGACAAATAGAGGTTTATTGCAAAAAGTCATTAAGTTTCATAAACTTAAATAATTAAGAGCTTTGAAGAATTTTCCCTTTATGAAATCAAAATATTGTTTGTTTGTTGTAAATATAATATATATATATATGTATGTATGTGTATATATATATATATGTATGTATGTGTATATATATATATATATATATATATATATATATATATATATATATATATATAAGTTAAAGCGCCTTCTATTGAGTTTTATTTTAATTTATTCCATTTACCGGTTTTAGGAAAAATATTATCTATTTAACTTTTCAAAAACCTATAATTTTGGCTTAAACCCAAACAAATTTTCTGGAGAGATCTTGATTCCCTAACCATTGAAAACATCAGTCCTTATCTCGATTTCCTATCAGTTTCCTTAGAATTCATCTACTCCCTTTCCTCCATCGATGACATAGTGGAATGGCTTTCTTCTAACCTCCTTGATTTCCTTAGTCATCACGCTCCTCTTAAAACCCATATTTTTAGATTTTCTTCTGCTCCCTGGATTAATTCAGAAATTGGAGAGTTAATGGGAAGAAGAGAGGCTGCCAGAAGACGATACAGACGTACAAGACTGCCCCAACACTTCTTCAAACCTCTACTAAACTGTACACAAATATTCTTACACCATGCCAAAGCTCAATATTTTAACAATAAGGTTGGTAAGAAAACATTCTATATATCTACCATTGGAAGGCATAGTCTCCATGAAACCTGTAATGAAAATGCCCAAAGACTAGCCAACTTCTGTGCATCGCAGAATCTAGTTGTAGGAAGCAGTTTTTTTCCTCATAAAAGGACCATCTAGGTACCTGGAGATATCCCAACGAGAGTGCAGTGAACCAAATCGATCATTTCCTGATCAGCCATAAACATAAAACCAACCTTCTAGATTTTTTAACATATCGAGGTGCCAACATGAACACAGATAATTTCGTAACTATCACATGAGTGAGAGCCAGAATCTCGACTGTTAAGATAACATGAGGTCAGAGAACCAAGAATTTTAACTCCTCAAAATTTAAAGATCCACAAGAACGCATGAAATTTATCCAACAAATTAACGAAAATTTGGCGAACAGGCAACATTTATTGGATGTGGATGTTGACGAGATGTGGTCAACAATTAAGACAACCGTATATAAGGCAGCTGAAAAAAACTATATGTTTTAAACAGTTTGAGAGAAGATATCCACGGTTTGATGAAGAATGTCGATAGGCCACTGATCAAAAAAATGAAGCATATAAAAATATGATTCAAAAGAGAAATACGTGAACCTCAGTACTGCATACAGATAAAAAAAAGAGTAAAGAGAAGGTAACACACAGACGCAGAAAAAGAGAATGGGAATAAAAAATTAGAAGATATCGAGACCTTGAGGAATGCCAATGAATGTTGGAAATTCTACCAAAGAGCGAATAATGGCTGGAAGCCATTCAAGCCATGACTGTCCTTATGCAGAGATCTCGATGTATCATTACTCATTGATAAGAATCAAAGACTAAGAAGATGGAACTGTCACTTTGAACAAATGCTCAATGAAAACCACACATAGATGGACCTGCTGAGAGTAATAGAGTTAACCCAAATACCAGAAGATGAGCTAGAGCCCCCTGACAAAGAAGAAGTTCAAGAAGCAATAGATAATCTTAAGGATAACAAAGCCCTAGGCTCTGACGCACCGTCTTCTGAATTCTTCAAGGAAGGTGGAGAGGAGCTCACAGAGCTGTTACATAACCTCCTAGTTTTGATTTGGACTGAGGAAGTAATATCATAAGATTGGAATAAAACGATTCTCTGCCCTACACACAACAAAGGGAGTTTGCTTGATTGCAAAAACTACTGAGGTATTTCGCTGTTGCTATGTGCCTATAAAATTTTCTCCAACATACTTTACAAGCGCCTCCTGCCGCATGTTGAAAAAATCTTGGAGAGGTATCAACGTGTTTTTCGCCAGGGGAAGTCCAAAATTGATGAGATATTCCCCTTAAGGATTGCTATGGAGCATGACTGAGAGTATCAGATACCCAAACACCACCTATTTGTGGATTTCCAGTCTGCCTACGATAGTGTTCAGCTTGAACCACTATACCAGGCCATGAAAATTTTTAAAATCCCAACAAAAGTTATATGCCTGGTAAAACTGACTATGGAAAAAATTGAAAATGTGTTGTGTATTCAAGGAGCTCTCTCTCAAGGATTTACAGCTATTAACGGAGTCCGACAAGAATATTCCCTTGAATACGTATTGTTTAATTTAGGTTTGGAAAAAGCAGTCAGAGAAATCGGAATCCAGACAAGAAGAACCATCTTCAATCGCACAATTCAAATCCTTGGCTGCACAGGTGATTTAGACATCATTGGAAGATTGAGAACGGCTGTAAAACAGGCCTTCCTTGCCCTTGAGTCATCTGCCAAAATGGGACTTGTCGTGAACTCTCAGAAGACTAAATACATGGTTGTTAACGAAATGAAGCCTCCTGATGAAGTTACCGTACAATTTGGGTCTAACACATTTGAACGTGTAAGTGAATTTATATATCTGGGCTTCCAAGTAAACAAAAATAATGATATTTCGGCTGAAATAAGAAGAATAGCATCTGCTAATAGATATTATTTTGTACTTTGTCAACAGTTTGGAAGCAGTTTACTTTCCAGGACTACCAAAATAAGACTGTAAAAGACACTCATCAGGCCTGTACTTACATATAGATAGGAAACATGAGCTTTTTCTAAAAGTGATGAGTGAAACCTTTCTATATTCGAAAGAAAGATTTTGCGGCATCTTTATGGTCCACCAAGGGAGAACACAACATGGAGAAGGTGAAAAAACAACGAACTTTACTCCTTATTAAAGGAAACAAATGTTAAAATGATAAAGCTTGGCAGGCTTCGATGGACTGGTCATGTGGCCAGGACGGATGCACAAGAAATTCCTAGAAAACTCCTCGATGAAGAATTACATGGAAAAAGAGCAAGAGGCCATCCCAAATTACGATGGGCTGATGGTGTAAATGAATATTCGAGAAACCTGGTATTCGAAGCTGGAGGACAGCAGCACTTGACCGAATTAACTGGCGAAAGCAGCTTGAGGAGCCTAGAAACCAGTGATGGGTTGTAGAGCCGATTGATGATGAAGATAATTATCCTGAGTATTGAATGCGCAATGTGCAGGTGTTTGAATATTCACCTAAATTTAATTTTAAAAAAAATATATTTTACTTAAAATATATTTTTTTTACCCCGAACTGAGGAGATATGTAAGATACATCTTAATTGAAAGTTTTTAAAAATTATTTAATAAATTAATGTAACAGTTAAAAAGCAAGCTAATGTAGTTTTACTAGTGCAGGGAAAAGAAAATAGCTGCTCTGTAGTTTCCCCAGAAAGGAAAATCCCGAAGACCAGAGGGGATGGACAAAGGATTTTGTTTTGGCAAGCAGTTGTTGTTTGGCTGCTGTGAAGAGAGGATAAGAGAAGGGATCCTGGCTCCACTGGGTAAAACCCAGTAACAGTATTACCACCTCGGAAGTTGTTTGGCGGAGAGACTAGTTGTTTGGAATTACAAGAGAGAGGATCTCCCAAGAAGCTTCAGTTGAGTTGATGAAAGTGTTACCATTTTGGAAGGAGTGTTTGGCAAAACTTTGGAAAATGTTTAAAGACAAATGAATTCAGTGCAACAAAGGAAGAAACAGTATATATATATATATATATATATATATATATATATATATATATACACATATATAAAAGGTTAGCTTGCCAATCCACACTTGACTCTATTTTAAAATCAGTGTTTAATTTTAGTATAAATAGTGTAAATTAAATAATAATAGTTTGCCTGAGTGTTTTGATCTGATTGTCAGTAGCCCATACCTGAGATAAAATAATTGTAAATTTCAATTTAATATATTAATACTCTTATAATTTTGTTTATTACTTAATAACCTCTTATTTATTTATGAAGTATCCCAAAAGTATAAAGTGATCGTCTGAGGTTATATTATTATGATAAGTTAAAAAATATAAGAAAGAAATATTACACCATATTCCTTCTGTATTCACATCTGACCTCTCACTTTTAAATCCAAAACTAACTACTATGGTCCTGACCAAATACCTTTGAAAATCATCAAACTCTCCCTTCTAACCTTACTTCCTACAGATCTACAATTTTTCCCTCCAAAATTCCATTTTTCCTAAAGCCAGGGAAAAAATCATTTTCCGGCCTTTGAACAAAGTTCCTGCTTCTTTAAAAGCTTCCGACTTCTGACCCATTTCCATTTTATCCAAGCTTCTAGAAAAATTAGTTCATTCTCAGTTGAATAACTTTTTTGAGCAAAACCATCTCCTTAATCCATTAAATCCGGTTTTCGTTTCCAATACTCCACCCAATCTGCCTAGTTAAAGATTACCCAAGACCTCTAATCATCCCTAGATAAACAGAAAATCTCTATCTTAGTTCTCGTTGACTTTCCAAAAGTCTTTTATTCTGTCAATCATAATATCCTCCTTTCCAAACTCCAAAGCCTGCCCATATCAAATAGCATTTTAAAATAGTTTCTCTCCTTTTTATCCCATTTCTCCTAGATGTTATTTCTAACAAATCTCCTTCCTCATCCCTTAAATTATAATGAGGTGTTCCTCTCAGGGCGCCTCACTCTCGCCAACTCTTTTCTCCACTTATATTAGTAACCTTCCTGATTACATTCATCACACCCACTATCACTTATATGCAGACAATTTCCAAATTTACTTATTGTTCCAACCTTCTGAGATATCTGAGGCCACCCAAACACTGCAAGAGGATATTATTGACTGCACAGATGGGCAGAAAAAAATTAACTGAAGCTGAACACAGATAAAAATAAGGCTATCCTCATCGGTTCCTTTGCTTTTTCTCATCTACTTTACCTCAATAACCACCCCATCCATTTCTTTCCGACAGTCAAAAACCTCGGAGTGATCTTTGATCACAACTTCTGTTGGAATAACCACATTTCCCAGATTACCAGTAAATCCATAACTATCCTTAAACAATTCCTACGATTCTGTGATTCTATTCCAAAAAAAAACCAGACAGCTCCTTGTAACATCCCTTGTTTTCCCACACTTTGAATACGGCTGCTTGGTGTATGGACACCACAAGACTAAAGAGACCCATGAATTGCTTCAAAAAATTCATATTTTGGATTTCCAGGCGTTCCCATGTAAACATTTGTATTTTATCTACATGCCAGATTGATGTATATATATTTTGAATTCTGCTACTATTCTTAGGAGATTTCCGTCCCAGAATAAAATTATTTATCAGTTTCATTTCAAAATAAATTAAAATAAAACTCAATAGAGGGAGTCTTAATATTTTTAGTAGAGCATTCTAAACTACAGCCTGGAAAGAATAAAACGAAACTGTGGATGAAAATAAGTTACATTTTTTTTTTTTGAGCATTTTTCTTGATAAAACAAATTTGGCCACAAAAAGATTTTTAATGAAATAATGGTTATTATAAACATGTTTGTATAAGTTTGTCGAATTATGACATTATAAGTTGTTTATATATTTACAGAAAAAGTTTTTTTTGAAAAAATGAGGAGGAAAAAATGCTATTTGTCAAAGGCGTATGCAGCTTTCATATTAGGGGAGGGGACAAGACGGAGAATAGAGGACAATCTCAGGTACATAAATGATTTCAAACTCCATAATATTATACTAAATATTGAAGGAAGCTAGTCGACTGTTCTACATATCATGGATGATAAATATCCAGGACGCAGTCATAAAATTTTTTTTATTAGTGCCGACGTTTCAACCCAAACGTGTGTCATCATCAGGGCGTGGTTCTAGCACTGAAGGTTTTGAGTACTTGAAAACCTTCAGTGCTCGAACCACACCCTGATGATGACCCACATGTTTGGGTTGAGACGTTGGCAATGATCAAAAAAATGTTAATAATGACTGTGTCCTGAATATTCATCACCCATGATTATACTAAGTAGTTTATTATTATTACAGTTTATAAATATTTTTATATGATATACGATATATTCATAGAACAATTTTTTAAAATTAATTTCTCTCGAAGTTCCTGATAATCTTTACGTTTAGTTTAGTATTATATTAAGTTTAATTTTCTTTTAAATTATTTAGAAGGGTCAGTGGCAACACCCTACCCTCCCCTGTTTACGTCCATGTCATTTATGGATGCTGGAAAGAATAAGGAACAACAAAAAAAATTTATATTTTTAATTCAACAATTACTGCCTTTGAGTGGTAAACTACATTAAAAACAAATTAAATGATGATTTTATGATAATTATCATTTTTGTTTTTTGGAATGTTTTTTGAAAATGGCTTTTATGACTGAAATGTTGAAATAAAAATTATTGTTAAAAAGATCTTTTATTTATAAAATAACAATAAATTATTTGCGGGATTAAAAGAGGACTATTTTGTATAAACTTAATTATATGCCACTTGCGGATCCAGGATTTAATTTTGGGAGGGCTTCAGTCCGAAAGCTTTCTTTTTCATAAAAATAACGATAATTACTTTGGAAAAAAAGAAAGAAACTAATTATCTATATGAAATGGTGTTTAAGTGATTCCTAAAGTCTTTTTAAATGTAATTACACGAACAATAATACTTTAAGAGATAATCTTCTAACTTTTTTTTCCGGAAAACATGGTTATATTTTACCATTTTGGGGAGGGGGGCTTCAGCCCCAAAGCCCCCTCCATAGGTTCACCCGTGTCATATGCTTATTTAATTGTAATAATCATACAAATAATGTTAATATCTTATTTTATTTTAAAAACCTGTTTCTTTACAAGTAAAAGAAGTCATTTTAATAATATAAGGAAAGTATGCTCAAAGTCTGTAAATATCATTTTATGTTGACAAACATAATCAAATTACCATGTTCCAATTACAATTTTAACAAGACAAAAATTAGTGATTCTTTTAGCAAACCTGGATCAATGTCATTTGCAATAACTGTCACATCGTCACAACAAGCAGCAGCAATAGCACAAGCACCAGATCCACTCCCAATATCAATTACATTTTTTCCTTTAAATAATTTTTTATTGTCCAAAATATACCTAAAAATTACAAATAGAATATTATTTTACACTTTGTATGAACAATATTCAACATAGACAATTATAGTCTAACTTACTCTTGTTTTGAGACAAAAGCTAAATTAATTGTTTTCATCATTATGCAATGCTTGAAATGTAAAAATTTAAATTAATAATGAATTAAGAGTAAAAAATGAATCTCCTAAGATTGAATCTTTGTTCTTAAAGATCCTAAATTTAAAGTCCTAATTATAATTTTCAATTAACTCTGATTTAAGGGAAAATTTTTCGAAACTGAATATGAAACACTTCTATTTGCTAATTAAAATCTTGATTAATTAAATTTAACAGCTCAACAGGCGCCTGAAGCTGCCCTTGGCCCTCTCAATTACCCTTTCCCAATCATTTCGGTCCGCAGCATGTCTGCTGGATACTCCCACCATCATCAAGTCCTCAGCCATGGAGTCCTTCCACTTTCCCTTTGGTCTGACTCCATCTGGGGTTCCATAATATGATTTCCTCATGGCTCTACCTTCATCCATTCAGATAATATGCCCCAGCGATTTTAAGCGTTGAATTCGCACGAAATGAGAAACTCGGAGATCGTCGAATAAGTCGTAGATCTCTTTGTTCTTCCTTAAACGCCATGTACCATTCTCTTTAACTAGCCCCATGATGCGCCTCAACACTTTTCTTTCAAAACTATCAATCTTTTCAGCCAGGCTTTTGCGTAGGGTCCAGATTGCACTGGCATAGGTCAGTACAGGTTGGATGATTGTTTTGTATATAATAATTTTGGTACCCCTACTTAGTAGTTTACTCCGGAGGAAACTTCTTAGGGCCAAATATGTTCTTACGTTCCATGTTCCAACTTTATAAGCCATATGACGAGTTCCAGGTCGTTTATATAAATATGTCCGAAATCCGAGACTAGACTGTTGAGAATAAGTAACCTATGGTTTTTTTTTTTGTAAAAGGTGGGTAGTCAACCCCCTTTAACCCTCCTGCTTTATCCGGGCTTGGGACCGGCAATGAAGTCTAGTTAACTAACTCCACAGGCGCAGTTAAAATCTTGATTGTCATAGTATATTTCAGAATCCTTGTCTACAAAAACAATTTAATTTAATAATATTATAAAATCATATTATATATTATATTATAAAATTAATACATAGTAAAAAATAAAAAATAGAAAATAATATATATTTTTATTAATCCATAATTGTTTCTGTGGGTAATCTAAGCGAAATACTTAAACAAACAAAATATGCACTGCTTTTACATAATAAGGTATCAAGAAAAAATATAATAGGGTGTATAAAAAAAAATAATGACTGTTTTATCAAATTCAGGATTTTAAAGTACTTACTATAAATATTTTAATGCTATCAAATACCTAATAATCCCTTCAGAGCATTCTTTAAGCTTGTTTAATCCCATTCGACTTCTTAAAAAAAATCCTCAGTTTAGTTATTTGTTTCAAAGAAGAAACATGACAGAGTCCAACAAAATTCTTATAATTTTAAGGCATTACTGGAAAAAAAATTTCACAGCTGTGAAATTATTAAATATGATGGGGAAGGTGTCCCTGACCAGCGCACTGCGCAGCATTGGTTCGAAGAATTTAGCAGTGGAAATATGACGTTGGAAAGGAAGAAGGTCTCCGGATGATCATATTGATGAGGTTCTGCAGGAAGCTGTTGAGTCAAATCCATCACACATACTCGCGAACTTGCCAGGGAGTGTAGAGTGTTGAAAGATACTGTTAGTTGTCATCTATTGTCCATGAGGAAGGTGAAAAAGAGCAGTAGACTGGTCCCTCACGAACTTACTCATCAGCAATCAGTTAAGAGTTTAGAAATTTGTGAAAATTTAAGGTTCAAACTCTTGCCTCATCCACCATATAGTCCAGACCTCGCACCATCGGATTACTACTTAATTAGATCCATGGCCCATTTTCTTCAAGGGAAAAAAATTGATAATTTTGTAGAAGTTGAAATTGCTGTTCAAGAGTTCTTTGACAGTCATCCCAAACAATGGTATCAGTGTGGGATCGAGCAATTGGCTAGCAGATGGCTAATAATGGTAGATAACAATGGACTATAAGTTCAGTATTAATTGTATTTTATATCAAAAAAATAATCTGGTTGAAAAGCGATCATTTTTTTTTTTATAATAATAATAATACTTTATTTATTCTGGGATTAGTCCCTTTAGAATAATACAGTATACAGTATACAGTATATATATATATATATATATATATATATATATATATACTGTGTATGAAATGTTGGATGAAGATAAAATATATATATATATATATATATAATACAATAGGAAATATACACCCTATTATAAAAAATTGTCAGCCAATAATGGTATCTACTGCCACCAAACCACATTTTAAAAACTGACGTCTCCTAGTTTCTAAAATTCCCAAAACATCAGCACCAAATAACACGTCAATAGGGTCAGGATACGAATCACTAATATTGATGCCTAGAGCCTCTAACTCTTCCAACCAAGGTCCTGAAAAAACGGGATGTAAGGGACCAAAAATTTTATCTTCATCCAACATTTCATACACAGTCTGGGGAAATTATTTTAATATCAAAACAATTATGGTCTCAGGACATATAAAATCCATTCTTTTCTTTTCGGAACTAGTATAAGTCTCTCCACTACAAAACATAAGAATGCTGTGACCCTGAGTCTATTAAAGCCCTAAATTGTTCAGTAGATTTCCCATTGAATAACAAACAACACTCAAAGTGCACATGAATACATGACCACTAGTTTAGTTGGCGTCATTCACATCTTCTTAGCCTCTTTTGAGATAAGGCACAATGAATGGTTTCTGTTCTTTGGTGGTAGAACACATAATTGTAACACATGACTTACCATAAATCTGGCATTTGAAATGTTTTCTACACTTCTTAGAGCTATGTTCTGATTTTAAACATTTAAAGCTCACAATATCTTTAAATACAGCATTCATTTTCTGTTTTAATGTGAACTTTCGAGATTTAAAGCAATTGATACTATTATGGTTCACACCATAAAAAGATACATTTTCTAGTTGTACAATTAATTAATCCTGAAGTAGTGGGAATAGCACTAGGATATAATTTTTTAAACTCTTCGTAAAAGATTTGTATGAATGTGATAGTCTAAAACCTTCAGCTGCTAGGGCTATTCCCTGCTCATTTTCCGCCTCATGTTTTATGAATTCAAGTAGTTTTTCTAAATGATTAACAGATTTAGGAGCTACAGCCTTAATCTCAGAGTTAAAATCATAGTTTTTTAGAGACTCAATACTCTGACTAGACCTCTGCCAGATTCTAAGTAACTCCTCGGGTAGACAAAATTCTATTAATGGAAACAGCATTGCTGCACATTTATTGTCACATTTCCAAAGACCTCAATTGTGTCTCGATTCTGTAATATAGTACACTTAGATCAAACTTTTCATTGTTGGATGTATTTTTCATAATTAATTTTAATAGTTTTCTCACATAAACCTCGATCTGAAGATTTTCTTTCCCGAATCTAGACTTTAGGGCTGCTACTATCTTCCTATAAATCTTATTGATGGCAGGAAAACTCCCAACAATGTGACGAGCTGGGATATTAGGATATGTATCTTGAAATAAATACTGAATTTTATCAGCAGGATCAATGGAGGAATCTTCATTAATTTTCTTAAATTGATTCCAGAAAGGAAGCCAACCCTTAATGTCCCCCGAAATCCTTTTAAATTCAATATTTGATAATTTAAACCTTCTTTGCAGAAAACTGACTCATCACATAAATGTTTATTGCTATTTCTAATAGTAATTGTATCAGTTTCATTTTTTTCTGTAACCATCAGCCACTTGAATTTCTTCTTCAGATAGATCATTCTCCATCAAAAGGTCTAACATTTCTTCCAAAATCTCCAACTTCTGTTTCAAAACCTCTGAGTGAGCGGACAATTCTTCAAAATTAAAACAATCACAATTAAGTGATTGTTCTAAGTTGTTCGTGCACTGTTGTGGAAGCAGCTTTATCACCAGGCATAACTAGGGAGGCCCCAAAACTAAAAAAAAAATTATATAATTTTTAATAAAACAGATTAATAGATGTTTCCATTCTGAGCGGGACTGATGTAGGGGCAGCAATCTTGAAGTTTGCACCAGGCATCAATTGACTTAGCTACGGTACTTTCAATATATACCATTTTATGTAAATGAATAATTTTTTTATTGCTTTTAAGAAATATAATTTATAGTAAAGGGTAGGCTTTGTATTATAGATTCCTATATTACTACATTAAAGGTGTAATTATTATAAGTT